AATATTTGTAAACTGTGCATCCAACAAAGGTCTAATACATACTATCTGTAAGGAACATAAATCAAAAAGCAAAAAACAACCTCTATAAAAAGTAGGCAAAGGAAATGAATTTCTCAAAAGACATACAAATCACCAACAAACATATGAAAGAATGCTCATAATCACTAATTATCATAGAAATGGAAATCAAAACCAAAATGAGATACCATCTAACACCAGTTAGAATGGCTTTCATTAAAAAGTCAAAAAATACCTGAAATTGGTGACGCTGCAGAAAAAAGGGGATACTTACACACTGTTGGTGGGTATGTAAATTAGTCCAGCCACTGTGGAGTGCAGTCTGGAAATTTCTCAAAGAACTAAGAGTTGAACTACCATTCGACCCAGCCATCCTATTACTGGGTATACACCAAAAAGAAAATAAATCATTCTACCAAAAGGACACATGCACCTGTAAATTCATTGCAGTGCTATTCACAGTAGCAAAATCATGGAATCCACCCAGGTGCCCATCGAATGGTGGACTGTCTAAAGAAAATGTGATACACACACACACACACACACACACACACACACAGCCCATGGAATACAATGCAGCCATAAAAAAGAACGAAAGTATGTCCTTTGCAGCAACACGGATACAGCTGGAGGCCATTATCCTAAGTGAATTAATGCAGGGACAGAAAAGTAAATACAACAGTTCTCACTTATAAGTGGGAGCTAAACACTGGTTATATACACGGACATAAAGAGGGGAACAATATACAGTGGGGACTAATAGTAGAGCAGGGAGAGAGGGAGGAGGACAAGGACTAAAAACTACCTACTGGGTACTATGCTCAGTACCTGGGTGATGGTTTCAATTAGACCCCAAACCATAGCCACCTGCAATATACCTTTGTAACAAGCCTGCACAAGTACCTCCCAATTCTAAAATAAGTTGAAAAATAAAACAAAAAGAATATGCAGAAATTCAAATGAAAACAACTACCATGTTATATGTGATAATCTACATACAGACCATTAAGATATATTAATATTTTAAATGAATTTTTTTCTGTACTATTTACTGTATATTTTTCAAAAGAAGTTTTTCTTAAACTACATAATTCTCTCTGTTGTGTTCTTCTAATTAAGATATGGACTGTTGGGCTGGGCACAGTGGCTCACACCTGTAATCTCAGCACTCTGGGAGGCCGAGGCAGGCAGATCACGAGGTCAAGAGATCGAGACCATCCTGGCCAACATGTTGAAACCCTGCCTCTACTAAAAATACAAAAATTAGCTGGGCATGGTGGTGCATGCCTGTAGTCTCAGCTACTTGGGAGGCTGAGGCAGGATAATCACTTGAACCTGGGAGGCAGAGATTGCAGCGAGCCAAGATCTTGAGATCCAGCCTGGAGACAAAGCAAGACTCATCTTTTTTTTTAAAAAAAAGATATGGACTGTTGCTTAGAGTTCTGTGGTGTGAAATTAGACCAGCAGTTTTCTAATATCCATAAAATAATTTTAAAATGTTTCTCCTCTGAAAGTCACATAATTCAGTCACAGAGAGTTTATTTCTGTGTTTCCTTTGTTTATTTTGTTTTGTTTTTAGCTGCTTGGTAAGCCAATTTTCTACTTAGAATCTACTGTTAAAACTCTCATTTGGTTCAGTATGTGGGCTTTATCCTTTTCATGGTCTGTTATGTAAAAAAGATGGCTCAGAAACATTTTTTTAAGTTTGCTGTATAGCAGTGTTTCTCAACTTGGATGCACATGAGAATTGCCTAGGGAACCCATAAAAGATACTGATACTCCCTCCCCTCCAGAGATTCTGATGTAACTGGTCTGGGTGGGCCTCTTTTAAAAGCCCCATAGGTGATTTTAATGTGTTGTCAAAGCTAGGAACTGCTTCCATAAAAAATAAAAATTAAAAAAAAAATAAAATAAATAAATAAATAAAAGCTAGGAACTACTGCTCTAGGATCCTGCCATTGTCCAAATAAAAGCTATTATCTTTTCTGATTGAACCTAGATGATAAATGTTTTTTAAAAATTCTATAGTTCAATAGATCCAATGATTAAATTTCTTCTCTACAAGGCTGCTAATTTGTTAGTTTGAATTTTAGGGTTTAAGAGCATATTCTATCTTTATTCTGATGATTGTTCCAAGAAGTCCCTTGGCTGCTACTGAAAAAAAAAAAATTAAAGGAATATGCCTGAATACTACTTTAATAAACTGGTACTTACGGTTCCTGATATTCTAAAAAAAATTCTCTACTTCATATTTAAAGATTATGGCTTCACACACACACAAGAAAAACAATTAGTGCCCTAGACATTTCTTCTACAAGATTATACTTTGTGCATAATGAATTTCACATGAAGCTGTAAAAAAGAAATCTTTGCAAATTTTACCAGTAGATAGAATAACTGAAAGGGCCAATTCCTAAACAAAAGCTCTTGACAAAAAAAGAATTATATATCTTAATAAGATCAAAAGGGAGGGAATTATACAATCAGTAGTGAATAAAGAATCATGTACAAATTTGCATACAACTTTATGAAAAAATATTCAAATACATAAAATGAATAATTTTCTAGAAACACCAATTATGGAAACAAAAGGAAAAAAAACCCTTTAAAAATGGAATCAATAATGAAAAAAATCTACCCTCCTTGAAAGACATCACACCCAGGAAATTTTACAGGTAAGTTTTACCAAACTTTCAAGTATCAATTCCTTTTGGTACAGTTACAGAGAGGAGAAAAGGAAAAAGCTAGCCAGATTGTTCCACAGAGCTAGTAAAACTTTGATATCAACTCTAGAAAGGTTAGATAAGAAAGGATAACAAAAAAAAAGTAAAACTGTGTGCCAAGCTCATATTGAAGCACATTGGGAAGCCTCTTCAATTTTCCCTACTTAATATCTAAGTAGAATCGACCACCACTTTTCATTGGGTCTCACTATAGCTTACACATACTCTACCCACAGCACCATTAACACTTTAATGCACTTACACATTTTCATATTTGTCTCTTACTGGCAGACACTAAGATCCTTGAAGGCAGGGATAGTTTCTTATTCATATCCCCTAGTATGAAATACAGTGCCTACCCCATGGTCATGCTCAGTAATTGCTAAATGATATGGCTATTTCAAGTAGAAATACCATTAATGTGCACATGCAGAGGTAGGAAATAATGAGTCAGCAAGTAAATTCATTTAACTAAGACATGGAAGGAAACAACACTGGAAAGGTAGGCCAAGGGCAATCAGGGTAGGTTTTTTAGTGCTGAAGCTGAGTTTGGTTTTAGCATCTACAGAAGAATTTTGGGCAGGCAATGTCTAAATCAGATCTGTGCTTCAGGATCCATAGAAGCACTTTTTAGAGCTGTAAAAGACCTTAGAGGTGACCTATCTGAATTAAATCTATTGTTTTAAAAGTAAGAAAACTAAAGTCAGATAGGGTAGGTGATCTACTCAGCCACGGAACACAGAATTAGCTAGAAGCAGGCAGAAGTTTAGAGGTAGTAAACTTGATTAAGGTGACATAGTTAGTATATGGTGCAACCAACAGGCAACCCCAAGTTTGTTCAACTCCAAAGTCCATGATCTAGATGACACCAGGCAATGAGGTATGTAGACTATGTATATCCTTTTAGGACAGTCCTAATTTCATATAAGGACTCATTTCAAAGAAACGTAATTTGTAAAATATATAACTAAAAGCTAATTTAATTATTTTTACTTTTATTATAAGACACCCATTTAATTGAATTCTAGTTAGCTTAATTACATTAAGTCATTTTAACAAAGTCTTTTACTCAATGAACTTTTGAGCTCAAGATCAAGAAAATATTGGTCATGAACAGGAAGTGAGTAGGAATAGAGCACTTATTTAGCCTCATAAAATCCACACTGATACTACAAGTGATTTTAGTCACTGTAACAGAATTAGAAAAGTTCCAGAAAAAGGAAACTAAAAAATCTATAGGTGATTAAGAGGATTTTTACAGAAGACATATATATATACATACATATATATTACACATCAAATTTTAAGACTCTTTAGTCTTAAAAAGACAGCCTGAAAGTTTATAAAACCAGGAGAGGTAGGTAGGGATAGAGAAAACTTAAACTTATTCATCTTATCTCAAATGCTGACTCTGGGAAATACTCCTTAAAAGTCTAAAAGATAATTGATTTAGAGGCAAATACAGGAACATACTATTTTACCTACATAAGAAAGTGGGGGAGCGGGAGCTTGTTTTTTACAGTTATAATACAACAAAAACAGAGAATTTTGTAACCAAAGTACTAGTACAAACTGAAAATACACATAGGCTCACATATATGAATGAATGATCAAACCATTATCATGAATTGATAGAGGATACTGTCCTGACCTTATAATCTATAGCTCTCCTTAAATATCCTTGCTCCAAATGTGGTTTGGCACGACAGGGACTTACACAGTATAGGCATTTAACTAATGTTCGTTAATTGACAGAGGTTTGAAGAGAGTAATTGGTAACAAAAGCTTTCACAGGCATGATATCATGAGTAAACAGTAATAATAGAACTAATAATGATAATAACAAGAGTCATAATAGTGAACAGTGAATCAGGGCTTACTATATATTGATATTGCTCTAAATGCATGTATTAACTCATTTATCATCACTAACCATATTTTTCAAATAATGAAACTATAGCACATACAAATTAGTAACTTGGTCAAGGACAGGAAGTTACATAGTGGCAGAGCTAGCATTTGAACCTGGAAGCCTAGACTCTTAATTACTATACTATTCTAGCCAGCCCTGGAATTGTCTGGGTATCTTCTAGATACGATACTTTTTAGGATCTCATTTCATATGTAATTTCCTTTTCTGAATATTTGAAAAAACAAATTATAGGTAAAAAATAATTCACATTTATTTCAGAGTAGAAAATCTAATAATCCTATTTTATTTACACTTTATTAAAATGTACATATTTGTTTTAGATTTACCTCTAGTCTTCCTTGAGCATAACCCAGGAGGAGTAGATTGGCTCTGTCCTTCTCAGAAGAAATGGGGGCCCAAGGCCAAGCATCATCATTGACCAATGGCCACCAGCAAACAACTCTATCATGAACATAGTTGATAGCTAGATGTCGCTCTGTTGTCTTGTTTATTGGGCCAGGTATTTCATAATAGAAAATCTAATGATTAAGAAAAAAAAAAGCATACATGAAACGTTTCTTTAGAAGATGCAAAATCCTCAAGTATTACAAAAATTAAAGCATCTGGAAATGTAGTTACATGCAAGTAAATATGCATGTTAAACATGTGCTTAAGAAGGTGTCAGAATTTACCAAATTCTTCTGACACATATATAAAAAAGACATATGTTCAAAATTCTCCCCATTTTTAGCAAAGGAAGGAAGAGAAGAAATGTGAGTTAGGAAGGAATTGAATGTAGCAATTCCAATCAATACCAAAATGTACAGTCATGGTTGCTTGACAGTATCGACCTACACATAGGATTTAGGACCAGCTGTATAAAATGACAAGTTCAGTACTGCTGACCAAGAGTGTCTCACTACTGTTTAAGACATAACATGTTAACAATGACTGACAACAAAAAAAGGAAAAACAACTTGAGGCAAATATCTCTTTAAAGAATATATGCGACGTATACACATATATTCTGCATAAAAGGGATAAGCCATAGCATCATGCATAAAAGTTTATGCAGCTTCTGAGAATTATGCTTCTCTTTCTTAGGCAGGATTTGTATAATTTATTATTCAAACTATGTTATTTTGGAACATGGTTATTTGAAAACATAAGCACGGCACCATCTGTGTGACACATGCCAAGGAAATATAGATTGCACCGTATTTCTGCTTAAGGAATTAATGGAAGGTTGATAGCTTGGAAGAAAAAAAAAAACTATCTTGCCATTGCTGGTCAGCAATAATCGAACCACTTTCTGGGGATTAAGCGCATGGCTAAGCCTACTGGACCAGACACTAGCAAAGGGCAGGGGGTCTTCTTATCAGAGAAATGCTTCTGGAGCCAGTCTCACTACATGACAGATTGCTTTCATATTCCTGTCTGCAAGGCAACAAAGGATGGCAGTAATGCGATAATGCCAGAGTGCAATGGGTGTTAAGAACCCGTTGCATTTATGTATTGTATTTAGTAAATAATCAGGCTCATCCAAATTGTGATCTCACCACTCAACCAAGGCCATTAAAACCAAGGTTAATGCTTTAATAATCCTCTGCTATTTTTTTTCAAGATGGTCAAAAGGAACCCTTTTCTATTTGCATGGCCATAATATTATTGACCTCTTCATCCTCTGAATGCACATCAAAAGGAACTGAAATCAAAGTAATTACCAGTGTTATTCTCTCATGGTAAACATTTAACTCCTCGCAGTGTCCCTTCACTGTTAAATAAACTGAATCGGATTTTTCAGATGTAGACAGGAAAACTTGTTAAAGGTCAATAGTTTAAGGATGTTTACCCTGCAATTTTCTTTGCCAAAATTATGTCAATCTGAAAGAATTAAACTATGGTACAGCTGTAAAGAAAAGCAAAAGTACCATACTCTATACCACTTCCTTGTTTTAAAATCCAAATGGGCAATGACAGACAACACAGATGTACTTTATGCTATTAAGTATAATTTCTTATATTTAAGCTCTCAATATCATTGTTTTAAGTCTTCTTATTTGAGAGAAATACCACAATGAAATTGCTAAGTACTTAAAAATACATATACATTATTTTGACGTCTGATTTGCCGCATAAGTATGTTACCTATGAATTTCTAGATGACAAAATTGAGTTACAATGAGTGACTGACATTTTCAGTTGTCACATAATGCAAATCATTTATGTTATGAAATGTTAGGAAATTTCATGTTTCCTATGAGTTTAATATTATCAATATTCTGTCATGATGACCAAGAGGGAACGTAAAATAAACAAATTTCTTAAAATATCCTTCCAATGGACAAATAGCAGATTTGACTAAATATTAAAAATATATTTTTAAAATATTAAACCAGGAAATGAAATTAATGAGCTTTCCGAAGGGAAATAGATTACTTCTCTAATGTATAGAAATGACATGGAGTGCCAATGTTCCTATTTTCCTAAATCCAAAGGCATATTCAAATAAGCAAGTAAGTATTTTCCTTACTTAAGGTTTAAGGACCCAAATGCTAGATCTGTTTTCCACATCTTTTCATAAGAAAAGATGACATCTTTACAGTTTCTCTCTGTTCTCAGGTAGCTACTACTCTTCAGTTCAGAAGATTTTATCAAGCTATCACACCTAAGATAAAGAAACTAGTCATTCAAAATTTTATATACAGTTACTTTAAATGGTTTGAGTTAATGCACACACTGGTGCATTTTAAAGACTGATCAATTTTAGTAAGTAAACAGTATTTCAAGTAAATCTGGAGTTAGCCGTTCTAGAACTAACATCCTTTTAAGAATGCTAATACTATTTTTGTTTTGGTTAACCACATATAATAAGTAGCACTAATTTCCAGTTTTAAAAAATCTATATTAAGGTTTTACAGAAGTTTCGCAAAGCTGGCAAACAAAACTAGATGGTAGTTTATTACCACAATGAAAAACTCATTTATTTTATTCTACATTAAAAATCTTTTTTTCAGAATAAATGTTTCTACTAAATAAAACTAAATCCTCCCACACTACCACCACCTCATTCATAAGTAATAATCCCAAAGGGCAAAGGGTTAGGTTAAATACTAGTTGGCCAAAAACACACACACATTTCAAGCTACAGAGCTAGCTTCTCAAACTCTTTGCTCTTGCTGTAGATGCTCCAGGTATGGCATAAGTGTGCATCTTTTTTAAGGAAGCTGTGTATCAGCTCTGTTCCCAGTGAACAGTGAACTGTCTCAAATCCACATCACAGAGGTTGGATCAATCTTGCAAACACAAGTCATTGCTGAAAAGAGGCCTTGAACTGAAACAGCCTGGAAAATGTATTAGATACTCATCCTAGCAGAGAATATGCCTTTCCAGCAGTTAAAATGTAATGTGGCAAAACTTAAACACATCACTTAAAATAAGAATTCTGCCTTAACAGATGTAAAGCCCCTGATACAGGAAGGAAACAAATTACCTGGAGTTAGTGAAGGGAGAGATACTAACACATGAAGGAGATTTCTTTTTGCATTTTGTCCAGTTATAGTTGGAAGGGGAGGGTTCTTCCCCCTCCTTATTTATTACACTTTTCTATTAACCTTTGAAAGTGCCTTCTTCTTTCTTTCTTTTCTTGTGAAGTGGAAACCAGAGCAGCTATCCTATCCTAGAAAGATGATATGGGGTCTTACGGGAAATGAGAATATACATACTACCACTAGCACGAAAACAATTTTCAAAGTGTAACTTGCCTCTGTTATCTGTCTTTGACGTCTATAAATACTATATAAATTGCTCCAAACATGCCATTGTTAGACATCCCCCCATAGTGAGAGTATAAAAGAAAACTTAGAATGGCCACTGTTTGCAGTTAATTAAGCTTAATCCTGTAATATTTCCAGTGTTTCTGAAATCCAGAATGTTTAAGAATAATGAGCAGAATACCAACTTATGAGATACTTTCATATACCTTAATAATTAATAATATAACTATATAAATGAAAATATCTACCTTAAAATCCAAGGCTGAGAGTTTTTCCAGTCTTTTGTTTACATCAGAAGAATCCATCTTCTTGGTAAACTGAATAAAACATAGCTTGTTTTGTGCCAAAAATGATAAGATGATAAAACTGTCTGTGAGAAGAGCTAAAAACCATAATTAGATAATACCAAGTTAGAATAAAATAATGGATAGATTTTTTCCACTGAAATGTTACAAAAAGCTATTTTCAAACATACATATTAATTGAAATCACTAAAGTCTCCTGAATATCATTATAGCATTTTATAAAAATATTAAAGATATTAGGAATAAACAATAATTATCAATCTAATCATGTATGTTTTTTTTCCTGTGACTATTTCAATATACACTGATGTTTGGGGACCACCACTGGATGAGATGTATTTAGAACCAGGGCTATAAAGATATTTTTAAAAAACTATTTCACACCTGAATGTAGAGATGAAAACATTCCATTTTATTTGTGCTAAGACTTTAATCCTATGTTTATATGATAGAAACCATCTGAGGATAAAGTGGATTTATTAGGGGATACTGATCAGTGTTCTCAACCAGTGTCTTTATTTAAAAAATTTTCATCAATGAATCTTCTTTTAGGGGTATACAAGCTGGATGAAATAAAGCATATTATACCCAATATGTACATTACATAAATTAATATTTAATAATGAAAATTAGCAATTTCTACAGCTTTGTCATTAAGCATACAAGTAGGTAAATAACTAATATTTGTGGATTATATAAAGGGCTATTGATGTTACATAAAATTATGGATAAAAACATGTTACAGGAATTTGAGAAATGCTTTGCATTGTTCCTAGCATAAAGAAATTATTAAATGTTTTATACATTTTCCTTTACTTTCACACCCCTGACCATGCAAACAGTGACCAACAGTGGATCTACACAATTACAAGAGAATCTGGAGAACTGCCAAGAAATCACATTGTTACCACGTTCCCATGAGAGTGTATTATTTTGGGTACAAATAAAAGAAATACGTGAAAAGGGATAACTCAGAGACACAAATTGTGCTGAAAAGTCTCCTTTTATTTCTCATTGAGGAGCATCAATATAACAAAATCATCACAGCCAGTATTTTATTTGCAGTACCAACGAAGGGGTCAATAATTAGACATATGAAAATGGAACCTCTTCTACAGGGAAGCTTCCTCAGCACCTTACTCCTGTAAGGAAGGGGAAATGGCATGCTTACAATCCTACCCCCAGCTTATTACTATCAGTAATGTTGCTAATTATGGCCATCCTGCAGAGTTCTTTTCTTCAAGATAACGTGATTGTCTGATTTATTCAGAGGTAGCTAGTGAGAGAACACAGCAGACGGAAGATTTCTTTATTCTCACCTCTGTCCTTTCCACTAGGACATACTTCCTTTGATTACTAAATTTAAGATACTGACCATTTTCAATCTATCATGATAATACAATGTTTCTCAACCTTTTTACCTTGAAAAAAAGAATATAATCTTTAAAAATTGAGGAGTCAGCACGGTATAGTGCAAAGAAAATGGGCTTCGCAGCCAGAACCTGTATTCAAATCTCATCTCAGTCACTTTCTAGCTATATGACTCTGGACATGTTCCTTAGTAGCTCAGCTTCAGTTTCCTTATGTGTAAAAATGGAAACAACTATACCTTATACAATTGTTTTCTTGTATTAAATAGGTAGGTTAGGAACCCAGCATACAGAGCCTTTTGGCTCAATAAATATCAGTATCCTTCCTATTCAATAACTGGCTTAATATCTTTTTCCTATGTGCTTTGTACCAATTACAGACTGATTGTGATGTCACTTAATAGGACCTGATTATCCAGTATATTAGGCATTGATCTTTATTATTTAGAAAATATAGCCCAAAATCTCTCAAAAGTTAGTATTCGTAAGATTTTAGTAACAAAGAATCTTCCTATGAGAGCCAAAGCATCAATTGTTTACTGGTGGCTGTGTTGGTATATTTGTGTTATTTATTCAAAATTCATTTGGAAATGAAATATGTATTTGAAGTACCAGTTATAGAGAACTAACTTTGAAAGAATGAAAACAAAACCCTATTTTGAAAACAATGCTCACTTCTTTTAAGGAAAAAGTAAAAAACAACTCAGAACATAAGCTTAACACTTGACAAGAAGAAAAAAAAACTTTGATATTAAATATTAGTCAAAACTTGTATTGGTCCCAGGGGGTAAGTGTGCTGTTACAAGCAATTACTTGTTTTGTTTGCAAGTCCCCAGTGGTAATAATTAGTCTACCTGTTGACACACTATTTCTCCTGCCCCACTGTTAATGTAGGCAATTGATTTGCACATGGGGGTAATTACCATCACTGATGGTGTCTGAGATGAGCTTCCCCACCAGGCTTCTGTCAATCACCACTTTCTCCAGCTGCGGCCCAGAAAGGCTTAGAGACACCAGCACACCTGAACCAAAGAGGAGCTAAAACCAGGTAAGCGGGGGAGATGGGAAGGAAGACATGCTGTGATTTAGAATCTTTAAAAAACCTCTCTCCAAATGTACAACTTATACAGATATTTTACACATGCATCTACACTATGAAATTATAAAGAACTGTCTTCACTGAAAAACAATTATTGGCATTGTGGTAAAAAGAGAAAGATGGCTAAAGGATGCAACACAATAAGTGCACTGATTAAAGCTACATGAAGAAACCTAATTTAGTCCATGTTTATTAGAAATCTAATCTTCTAAATACTTAGAAAGTACATATGCTGAAATAACTGCTTTGTTCTGGATTCAGAAAATGTAATGTATTCTATTGAGATATTTTGAAAAATTACTATTATAAACTAAAACATTTCTTGAGGTTTGAATAGTCATTGCTACACATTAAATATAGAAGATATGCCACTATTACAATATAAACAGCTAATGTTATGCATTTATTTGGAAGTTAAACACTACTTCTAAAAATAAAGATCTTGTCAGTCTAAAATATTAAAATACATGTAAATCAAGGCAATTAAGTAAAATGTTAAATTTTTAAAATCATAAACAAATACATATCAGAAACAATTTCACAAGGAGAGATAAAGGAATATAGTAGAGCATTCAGGCTTTATCAGTATCAGTGTTCACAAAAGCACACAACAAAAGATGACTGGATATCACCATTATAATTTTATACTGCTCCTTTCCATTTGTGGCAGCATAATTCATTCATCTCCAAATGTTTAAAACTTCTGAAAGGACTATGCATATGCGTATGCTTGTTATCTATGAGATTATGAAATATCAACATTGGAAGAAATTGTTTCACCTTCAAGGCAACAGACTCAAAGCTGATGAATCATGGAATAACATATGGTATAAGAAGAAAAAAACCAATTGTCAGTAAACTAATCACAAACATGCTAGCCAAATTCAAAGACAACTTTGATTTTAAACAAAACAGGGGAATCCCCCACCCACCTAGGCATCATGTCCCAGCTAGAGAGGATGATTCTGTGTTGAGACATATTTGGACATGTGTGAAAGATAAGCAGCATGAGGGACCAGGGTAATATAAAGACAGACCACCATTCCTCACTGCCTAACAGATTCCAGGCACATGATTCAGAAAAGAAACTGAAGAATCACTTTGCATTTCTATTAGAACTCTTGTCCTAGTCACCAGAAAGCTAACCTTTATTTGACTTAACAGATTATTCCATTTTGCATTAATACCTTTACAGGAGCAGAGAGTTAGGGGAAGAGTACTTAATCATCTTTGTGGGTCTTGGAGACTACTAAGAGAAGGCATATTTGTTTTAAGAAATTTAAAATGCTTCACAAATTACCATCTACTGAATTACACCCAGCCCTACCACATACCTTAATGGCAAATAGTGATATTTCCCTTTTGAAGAATCCCCCCATAACAACACAGCATGTGGTCTTAACTCCCCAAATTCATTCTCAGACAGGCAATTTTAGGGACATCTTTCATATCTACTACTCCCCTTCCACCTTTATTCAAAACATCTCTACTAAAGCTTTACACCTCTTAAGCACTTCTTTTCCGAATTACTCATTGACTACCAGCTCCTTATGTATGTTGGCTTGGCCACATTTATCTCTGTAGTGTCAGGAATACAGCAGGTACTCAACAAATGTTTGGAGAAAGAATCACAACTAACTCAATGGAACATCAGATAATTCAGAGTTACAAAAAAAAAAAAAAAAAAAAACTTGGTCTAATTTTCCATTTCCATATGACATGGATGTTCCTTCTGCAGCATCCCTTCAAGCATCTAGCCCATGCTTGAATACTGCCAATGATCAGGAGCTCACTACTTCACAGGAAAACTGTTCTACCATGGGTCAGTTGTAATCAACTTAAAGAACCTTCATTCATTTCTTTAATTCAGCAAAAACTGAATGTTCATTATATGGCAAGCACTAAATTAAATTTAAGGGCTCAAAAAGAAATCAAATATAATTCTTAAAGTAGGTTAAATCAAGTAGGTTAACAGAAAAAGATCGAGATCAAAGCAAATAACTAATAAAGTGCCAGTTTACCAGACCTATGATAGAGATATATAGTGGGTAGACTCAGAGGACTGGGAAGGAGGTGGTGACTCTTGAGATTGAGGCTAAGGATACAACTGACTCCCTACAACTTTGACAGTCACCCCAATTATTTTTCAGTAGCACCCACCTCAAATATTCAAGGATAATAATACAGTGGTTAAGAACACAGACTCTGAAATCAGAATAAAACCAGTATTGGCTACTTGTTACTAGCTGTGTGACATTGACAGTGTAATTTAACCTCTCTGTCCCTTTATTTCCTCATCTGAAAATAAACATGATGGTATCTACTTCATAGGATGAGGATTAAATAGCTTTTTACAAAAAGCATTTAGAATAATGCCTGGCACATAGTATTTGCAATTATTATTATTATTCAACCATTAATTGTAAGATGCTGTCTATAGTCTCCAAATCACTGCTCCTGCCTCCAGGCATAGATTAGTTATCTAACCAACTTACGCATGCTCTTGGCTCCATGACACTCACCCCTTTGAATCCTATATCAAATAACAAATATCCTCACTACATTGTTAACCAACTCTGTCTTTTTAAAGACATTTTGTCTTTTTAAAAACCTTGTAACCCAGGTTGGACTGAAAGTCAGACGTGTGACATTCAGGTGAATTATAACTAGTAAAAAATGCAATCTTTTGTTGCCTTTCCCATTTGTTATGATTTCACAAAGATATTCTCTCCAAAATATTTGCAAGTTCCTTCAGAACTCTAGAAATTTTTCCAAGTGTCTAATTTCTTTTACCTTGTTTTCTGTTCTCACCATTGCTGTCATGAAATAACTCTCATATCCTAACAAAAACTGCTTTTTCTATGTATGAGCATTGGTTATAAAATTCTTTTTAAAACCTACTTTTATGGGATGAATAAGGAAAGTACAGCCTGTGAGATTAAGTAAATGAGGGCCCTGATGCCGGAAAAGATTCAGAGGGGTGAGTGTCATGGAGCCAAAAGCATGCATACATTGGTTAGATAACCGATCTATGCATGGAGGCAGGAGCAGTGATTTGGAGACTATGGATCCATTGTTGAGGTTGGACATTCCTTCACAATCCTTCTCAAAGAATAGGTGCAGCTACTTTTTCATAAATTCACTCGTTTACCACTATATATATATATATATATATGGTATATCATATGAGTCAGGCACTGTTCCAAGTGCTGCTGAGAATATAGCAGTGAACAAAACGGACAATGCCCTTGCCCTCCCTGGCCTCATGGAGACTGCATTCAAGTGTGGACACAGATAATAAAACAAATAGTTTTAATATAATGTACAACAGCAATAAGAATTATAGAGCAAATTTAGGAGGGTGCTACTTGAAGCAAGATGACTAATAAAGAAATAGCCTCTCTGAGGAAATAACATTTGAATATAGACCCAAATGAAGTAAAAGAACAAGCCACATAAATATCTGGAGAAAAGGAGTTCGAGGCAGACAGAAAAGCAAATGCAAAAACTCTGAGGTGGGAATGTTCCTAGGCTGATTGAAGAAAGCTAGGCCAGTGTGGCTGGAGGGGAGTGAGTGAAAGGGATATTCATAGAGGATGAAGACAGAGAGGCAGTCAAGGGCCAGGTTAGGTTAGACCTTGTTGCTGGGAAGTCACTGAATTTTAAGCAGCACAGAACTATAATATAATTTATGTTTTAAAGCAGGGGGTCAGGGCAAGTGAAGCAAGAAGACCATTATGAGCCTATTGCAGTGGTAAAGGTGAGAGAAGATGATGGCTTGGGACTCGAATGGTAATGCTGAAGGAAATGGTAAGTGGGCAGACTTGAGACATATTTTTAAAAGTATCTATTAGCACTTGCTGAAAAATTGAATGTGGCATATGAGAGAAAGACTCAAAGATTTTTGGCCTGAGCAACAGTTTACTGCGATTGGGAATGCTACAGGAAAAGCAAATTTAGATTATGGAGAATAAAGAGTTTGATTTTGACACGTTAAGTTTAAAGTATTTATGGACATACTGGTGGAGAGATCTAGTACATAATCAGAAATGAGTCTGAACTTCATGGGGGACTACAGATGTATATTTGGCAGTCATCAACATTACAAAGGTAGTATTTAAAGCCATGCTACTGGACATGCTCCCTTTAAAAACTGAGTGGAAAGAAAGAGATCTAAGGTCTCAGTTCTGGGACATTCTAACCCAAAAAATCAGTTTAGCCCTCTTATTGAACCAAGTTTGGATACTTGAAAGATCAAGTATGTCCACCATTTCATATCTCCAAATGCCCTATGGACTAGAGGCATCCCTGACACCAGATTTTGGAATAAGAAGGTATAAATCAATTAATCAGCTAATTAATGCATTTTTATAAAACAGCCTATGGGGAAGCATAGAGTTGCCAAGTACTGGTGCCAAAGACACTCCTGGATATTGTAAAGGAGATAACTAGAGTTAGAAAAATATAGTCAAGGAAAGAATATTCCAGCCCAGACAGGAAAGTGTTGTTCTCACCTCTGCCTGTTTCCCCAAAGTGGTTAGTCCTTAAGACCTCCAAAATGGAAAGGATCTATGTAAGATTTGGTAGGATAAAAAGGAAAAAGAGCACCAAGACAGCATCCTATTTCATTGCAAGGGATTGGAGGGAGGATTCTGGTAGCTCAGAAAATAAAAAAGAGCAGGCAGTAGTAAAGGGAGGCATCTCTGAGGCAGATCTGAACTGAAAAGGCCCGCAGGATGAAGCAATGAGAAGGCCAGTGGCATCTCCCAACACTGTCCCAATTTGAATGTTGTTTAAATGTTGTGCAGGAGATAACTGAGGCAAATAGAAACTGACACTCTTCTTTTTCTCTGACACCCCTCCAGACAAAAAGTACCTTTCTTATTATTCCTGCTCTGACCATGTCTCTTTATGTTGCCTTTCTCATTTTCTCCTTTTC